CCTGCCTCTCCGCACGCCTTGCAGAGGAAAGACATTTTGGCACCTCATTGGCTCTCCAAAGGAACAGACCTGAGACCAGAGCTGGTGGGGCATCTGCACATGCTGCTGTGCTGGGAGCGCAGCATGCTGCTTAGCCACGTAGCACAGGCCTGTCTCTGGGTGTGCTGGCACTGGTGTCGTGGGGCTGCACTGGTCACCCACACGCATGGGAACCCACTGCTTTTTAGTGAGCACAGACATGGGAAAGGCAGCTCTGCCCCATCCTGGCATGCTGGGCCCTGGTTCAAATGCAGTCTGTGAGATGCTGCTGCCGGCACGCTCTGAGCAGCAGGGGATTGCAGGGCAAATGCCAGATTTCAGCAAAATCCTTGAGACTGTTCTTTGCTTTTACTGGCTCCTGTTGAGACTGCTCCACACAGCAGGGTCTGGCTGGCCTGCAGGAGGACAGCAAACGTGTGGCAGCACTGATGCTGGGCACTCAGCAAGGTCGGGTTTCCCCTGCCTGAACAGCATCGCTGTGAGGAGCTTGTAGCCGTGGGGCTCTCCTGCACAGAGGCTCTGGAAGCAGGACGTGCTCTGATGCCTTTTCTATGCTGAGCATTGGGGTTTTCCCCAGGGGCTCTTGTCTGACTTACCGCTGTCCCTCACAAAATTCCCCTCCGCTCCTGGATCCTCCTTTACTGCCAGCTCTGTGCCATGCTTTGAAATGGAGCCGTGCCAGCTTGGGGGGCTGCAGTCTCCTGGGCACGATGCTGCCAACTGTGGCTCTAGGTGCACAGTCAAATGGGGAATGGTCCCCACGTCTGCTCTGTCATCAGGTGGATGGATGGGCAGGGAGCCAGGGGGATGGTGGAGCTGCAGGCTGTCACCCTTCTCCATCTCACTGTCTGTGAGGCTGATGGGACCAGTGCCCCACTTATGTCTTGCTCCAGGACTGTGGCTAGTTAAGCCTTGCCCAGCGCAGGGTGTGCACTGCTGGGCTGAGGGTTTTCCCCTGGATGGATACCAACTCAGCAGAAGGTGCCAGTGGTGCAGCTTTGCACAGCTCCTGCCTCCTGCCCACTCCCTGGCAGCAGGGGCTCTCATGGTGGGTCCTGCTTCCTGCACACTGGAGGCACTGCTGTCCCCAGCGCTGTGTCCTGCTGCTGTCTGCACCCAGCACACGGTACCTCCTGGGACACCCCTGTGCCATCACAGCCAACGCCACAACTCAGCAGAAGGTGCCAGTGGTGCAGCTTTGCACAGCTCCTGCCTCCTGCCCACTCCCTGGCAGCAGGGGCTCTCATGGTGGGTCCTGCTTCCTGCACACTGGAGGCACTGCTGTCCCCAGCGCTGTGTCCTGCTGCTGTCTGCACCCAGCACACGGTACCTCCTGGGACACCCCTGTGCCATCACAGCCAACGCCACCACCACTCCCAGAAGGACCAGGATGAGACGGGCTAGTGATGGCCCATGTGTGGAGCAGAGGGGGCTACCAGCAGGCACCCATGCACAGGGATGCTGCAGTAGAAGCCTTCGCTGGCCAGCTTCTGCTGCTTGCAGAGAAACCCCATGGGACAGGCTGCCCGATCTCGGCGTGGCCAGAGGGAGACTGCCAGGGCAGGTAGCTCCACAGGTGGCTGCTCGGACCAGCCTGTCTGGGACCGGGCAGTTGGCAGCACCCCCAGGATTTCCAGGACAGCTCAGCACAGCCCAGGCCTCCTGCGCTGGTGAGTGCGCGGGTTGCAGAGTCCTGGCTGACCAGGTACGCAGCCACTGCGGGGCAGAGGGCTGGGGCGAGCTCTGGAGATGGCTGTGTCCCCGAGCTGGGCAAGGGTGCTGGGGAGTGAGGGTTATGGGCCAGGTGCCCCTCGTCCCCAGGGCCAGGGCAGCGGGAGACCTGAGGCACCCTGGAGAAGGGCACCGGCACTCCCAGTGGAGCCGGCAAGTGAATGTGTTGGTATGAAGGGGCTGCAATGAGTGAGGGATCTGGGCACCCCGTGGCCCAGAGGGCCTGGATCTGGCAGACCCTGCCCCAGGCAAAGGCACCCTCACTGGTGCCCAAGGGCAAACGGTGCCCAAGGAGTGAACTGAGCCGAGGTGCCGGAACGGGGCCATCCATTGTCCCTTCCCTCTCGGTGACAACAATCCCAGAGATGGTGGAAGGCACAGAGAAATGCAAAGGGACCGAGCACGTTTGCACTGAGCCCTGCAGGCTGGCGTGGTTGGGCTGAGCACTTGGGGTTTATTGCCCTTCTGCTGCCCGGGTGGCCCCCTGCCCCGCAGGAGCAGGGCGAGAGGGGTTGTCTCTGCCCTGGCATGGCAGAAGGATGGGGTACTGCCGCCCTGCTCTGGGGTGTCCCTTAGTGGAGCAAGGCTGGGCCATTCCAGCCCACTGGCTAACAGGCATCTCTCCAGGACGGTGTCTTCAGGGCAAGATAGGCACCGAGCCGGGCTGTGGCAGGACTCCTTGGCAATAACACTGGTTGTTTTGTGGTGTGGGGTCAGGGGTGCCCAGGCTGGGTCTTGCCGTGTCCTGAGTGGGTGGGGAGCACCCATATGCTGGGCTGGCACGCAGCAGTGAGGATGCACTTTATCAGAGCAGGGGAGCGGGGCCGTGGGTGCTTCTGGCTACAGGAATCCCAACCAGGGTATGCGTCTGGATAATCATGAGGAGTGTGATGGAGGAGAGCGGGCTTCCTCCCTCATGCCTCCTCTCCCCTTCTGCCCCCTGCCTTCCCTTGCAATGCACTTTGAATGGATGAGGATGTGATTCAGGCCATGGCTCCAGCTCCCTGGGAGCACCGGTTGAACCTCAACCCATCTAAAACTGCTTCAGCCCCTTGGCCTGGCTCCTTCAACCCACAGGCACGGTTGCATCAGGTACTGCCTCTCCCCCATGTGTGCTGTGAATGCAGGCAGGCAAGCAGGGGTATGGCCTCTCACCTCCACACATGTCCAGGCCACCTTTGTCACATGCACAAGAAGAGCAAATGCATCGTCACCTGGCTGGTGCTAGGGTTTGCTGGAGGGGAGACTGAGCTAGCGCAGGGAGGGGATGGGGCTTCTCCCAGGGTTTCACCCCTCTCTCAAATCAGGCAATAAAACAGTGTTTCATTCTCACTGTGTGTGTGGACACCATTTGTCCCATCCCTCTGCCATGGGAGCTCCTGGTGCCACGGGCAGCCTGTGGCTGCCTGGGATATCTTCGTGCGTCCCTGCCACGCTGGACCCTATGGTTTTCCAGCCTTCGCCTTGTCCACATGTGCAGAGGAGGTTGTACAGTGGGCTGAACGTGTGATACAGGGCAGGGGTGGACCGTGCAGAGAGGTGCAGCTCTCACAGGTTGAAACCTGTGCTCCCACATGACCAGAGGTGAGCTGCTTTTTTCCTGGGACTGTTTGCCAAAATAAGATGCAGGTAACAGCCCAAAGGCCAAGGGAGTCTGCTTGCACAGCTGTAGCTCTGCTGTGGTAGCATTTGCCCGGGTCCTTCTGTCTTGCTGGGGGGAGGCTGCAAAGTGGGGCCAGGGCACCGCTGCCCACAGCTGCAGCCTGGCAGGAACCAGGCAGGGCGGAGGTGAGCTCCTGGGCTCTGTGGGGAGCATGGGGCTGCTGGCAGGGCCCTGCTGGCTCTCCGGGCTGTGCCGCACGTGCAGGTAAGTGCCCCGCAGGGACAGGGTACCTGGGTCCCAGCTTGCTGCTGGTGCTCACCGGTGTCCGGAGGGCCCCAGGAGCTGTTGAGCAGGTGGAGATGTTGTGGCTTATTTCAGTCTTTCTGAGATGCCAGCTGTACTTATTGGATTTCACACATCAATAAAACTTATATTTATAGTGTACTGCCTGGATGCCTCCCCTCCCTGAGCGGCCAGAGGGCATGCATGCAAGGGGAGATGTGCATGCCTGGGTACACCAACAGGCGTCCCTGCATCAGGGTGCGGAGGTGGGTGCTGGGGGGCGGGCAGCACGCGGGCAGGTGGCTGCACACGTTGCTGGGGACAGGTGCCAAGTGTGTGCAAAGGCATGCAGGGACGTGCATGTCCCTGTGGGCTCTGTGCAGGCCTTTGGGGTGCGAGCATGGCCTCTGACGTTACCCGGGTGTGAACCCTCGGCCCCAGCACCCTGGCTCAGCACTGCCTGTGGCTGGCTGGTGTGGGCCGGCGCTTCCCAGGACAGCACCCAGGGACCAAGGAGAGTGCACGCAGCCCCACAGACACTACTGGCTCTGGTCTCAGCACTGCCTTACTGGGTTGCCAGAGCAGATCTGCAAGCAGCAAGAGGGTAGGTATATTATGTCTGTGTGTGTGTGTGTGCATGTCCATGCATGTGTGTTACGCAGCCAGGCAAAACCAGGTGGTGCTGGGCTGCCCTGCCAGCACAGCTTCCTCCGGGCTCTCTTCCTTGTGGGACTGCTGTTGTCCTGCTCCCTGCACCGAGCTCTGTGTGAGGTGGTGGCAGCTGAGCACGGGGGGATTTCACTCTGGAGCAGGACTTGTCCTTGTGGGCTCCTGTTGCACAGCCGGGCACCAGCTGGGGATGCAGAGCCACCAGATGTGTCCAGAGGAAACCTCCCCTTGCACCAGGGACTGCTGTTGTCCTGCTCCCTGCACCGAGCGAGGTGGGAGGTGGTGGCAGCTGAGCACAGGGGGATTTCACTCTGGAGCAGGACTTGGGGCTCCTGTTGCACAGCCGGGCACCAGCTGGGGATGCAGAGCCACCAGATGTGTCCAGAGGAAACCTCCCCTTGCACCACTGCTGGTAAGACCCCAGGACCCCCCCCCATACTCTGTGTGTCCCTGTGTTTGGGGGTACAGGTGTTTTTCCTTGCCGTTGTGCCTGCCGGCCCCTCTGCTGCGTCCCCAAAGTGGGGCCGTGGCTGCTCTCCTTACCCTGCCTGGCAGAGCTGGCAGGCGCTGTGCGCGGGGCGGGACGGGAGAGGACAGTGTTGCAGGAAGTTACAGCTGCAAAACAGCCGCCTCCGGAGAGGAGCCTCTTCCTGGGCCAGGGATGGAAGGAGGCGGCTGAGCAGCACCAGGCTCTCCTCCACGGGCCCCACAGGCTCAGCGCCTGGCAGCACGAGCACAGGGAGCCGTGGGCTCAGCCTCCGTGGCAAGGAGTCTTGCTAGAGGTAACCCTGCCGCTTTTGGCGCGGCCATCGCTCTTGTTTTGCTCAGCGCCAGCCTCACCATTGCCCTGGGCTCCAGGTCCCCGCACCGCCAGGGCCTCGGCCACCGTGTCCCTCCGGACACGGAAGCAGGGAGGCGGAAGGCCGCGGTAACCAGAGCGCAAGGGCGTGTGGGCCAGGCGTGCACCAGGGGTCCCTGAAGGGGGACGGCAACAGACGGGCGGCGCAGGGCCTTCCACTTGGTGGCGTGCCCTGGGTGGCAGAGGGTGCCGGGACGGGTCTAGGAGCCAGGCATGGGACGCATTGGGGTTCACTTGCTGCAAAGGCCTCGAGGCCAGGACACCCAGGTTCAAGGTCAGCTCCACTGTCCCCACCCCTGTGCCTCAGTTTCTCCACCTGGATAACATGACGAGGGACTGCAAAAAGCCCAGGCTGTGGGAGGTGTGAGCAAACCGTTGCCCTGCTTATCCTCTCCTGGGGGAGGCCAAATGCAGAGAGATTTGCACGCTGTCCCTTCCTATCTGCTGGGGTTTGCTCACACTCTCCCCCCTCTCTGTGCCTCAGTTTCTCAGGATGTTGGGGGCTGTGAGTGCAACCTGTGTTCCTGAAGGATCACCCTGCTGAGCTGGGGTGGGAACCTGAGTCAGCGCCGGCACAGCCGGTTCTGCTGGACTGGACCATATTGGGGCAGGTAAGGCTGGGCAGGGCGCTGCTGCGCCACATCCCTGGGGAGCAGAGCTGCCGACCCCGTCCTCTCTGCCCCGCAGAGCCAGGCCCATGCGGGACAGCTGCCTGAGCACCCCGGAGCTGCTGAGCCCCTCGTTCACCCAAAGACGGGTGCTTTGCCTGGGAAAAATCACCCTGTGCCGGGCCGGACCCGGTGCAGCCCCGAGGAAGTAGCTGAGCCCCCGTAGCCCCCTGCCAGCCTGTGCCCCGGCTACTGCTGACTGCAGCATCCCCGGCTGCTTTAAATGGGAGGAGGCTGTGCTCAGCATCCCTGCGTGCTGCAGCCGCCTCAGCCTGGCAGGCCAGGCGAGAGGGCTCAGCGGCTGCCAAGGACGCCGCAAGGGCTGCCCTCCGGGGTACAGCACTGCTCGGCAGGGCCAGCCACCATGGGGAAGCCCCTGGGGAACGCCAGTGCTGGACTGGGGGAAGCCACGATGCACGTGGATATGGGATCACCTTTATTTTCTGCCTTTCCTAAGCCCCTCCCTGCTGTCTCTTCTCTCCTAGCCCCAGCTCCTGGTTTTACAGGATTTCATGGCAGTTTGGGGAGGGCGGTTGGTTTGTTCTAATATAAAGCCCTAAAATGTCAAGCCCTCAAGCCTGGGAGGAGGAGGCCTGCCCTCTCCCCAGCACTTTTGTTCTCTCTGTTATGATAGTTGTTATAGCTGTACAGTTACAGCCAAGTCTAGGCTAGTGACTTTTGGCCGCTAACAGGGAAGAAATTGTCCCCTGCCCCTTGTGCCCCCAGTGAATTAGGTGGCTGGTCCCAGCTGAGGCCCTGGGAGATGGGGGTGGGTTTGGGGGCAGACAGGCTTGCCTGGCAGGGTAAGTACCTCCTTAGGGCCCTGCTTTGCTGCCCTCTTGGCTGCAAACCCCCTGGCGATGCCCAAGTAGGTCTGTGAAGGGTGCTAGATGGGGAGTCTAAGGCAGGACATGCTTCTGCCAGCTCAGCTCTGCTCCAGCCACCCTGTCGGCCGGCCCACCACTGCTTCCCATGACCAGTGGGTTTGTGGGGTCAGATGTGGGAGTGGGTCATTCCTGATTCAGGCAACCCTGGGCTGGGGTGGGGGTAGGTACAGCCTCAGGCTGTAAAGCTGGGCTGGGGCAGGGAACCGGCAGGTCCAGGCAGCCAGCCTGCCTCATGGGCTGTCCCCTCTCTTTCAGGCAGAGGATGTCGCGAGCCATGCAATGCCAGAGCTGCCTGCCCTGGGGCAGCTGGACACAGCTTCATCGATCCCTGCTGGGGAGCAGGGGGACCCGGAGTGTGTATCTGTGTGCTGCTTCAGTGCCAGGTGAGCTGGGCTCTGTGCCTGTGGGACTGTGACCCTGAATCTGTCCTGCCCCCAGGGAAGCCCTGTCCCTGGTGGACATCCCTCCCCAGCTGCACAGTGGAGCCTGTGCAGTCTGTGGGTCACCCCAGCAAGACATGATGCCAGCGAGCTTGGTGGTGTTAGCTCTGCTGGGCTGGAGAAGGCCGTCGCTGACTGTGTGTGTTCCTCCCCCGCAGGCGCTGCAGGCAGCTACTTCCTCAGGAAGATCCTTCGCGCAAGCAGCATCTCCCTCTCCAGGTACAGTGCCACACAGCTGGGGCCTGGCCCATTCTGCCCTGTGGCTGTTCGCCACGGGACCTGGGAGGCTGAGCTGGCTGCCTTGGGACCATCAGGGCTCTGTGGGCAGAGACGCTGCTTTGCCTTCACCTAGAAAACAACACAGACCCAGCTCCCTGCCTGCTCTGAATTCAGCCCAACTTCTCTGCCTCGCCATGGGTTTGCTGGGGATGCACAGTGCATGGCTTACTGACCTGCCTTCAGTTCCTAGCCGTGCCCTTGTCCCGGCCTTGTGCTATGCCTTTGTGTGGGGGAAGGAAGGGGTGAGCTGGCTCTACTCAGCACTTCCCACGGCACTCACTTGTGATCTGCCCGCCCTGCCCCAGGCAGGGCTTGGAGCTGCTGGCCCCTGCCCTCCTCGTGACACTCTCCCTCCTCTTGCAGGGGCTGTGTTCGCTATGAGGGAGGGTCCCAGGAGCACTCTGTAAAACCCAGCTCCTCTCGCCATGGCCTGTCCCAGCTGAGGAACGTGGCCTCTTCTGGTAAGCTTGCAGCCCTGTGCTGAAGAGGATGGACGGTCCTACACAGCGGGTTGGGGGCAGCTGCTGTCCTGGGCAGCGTGAGGGTTAGCAAGAACTGGGTTCTGTCTTCCTCTCTGCAGCCACCTCACTGCAGTGGCTTGGGGCAGGCAACTTCCCCAGTCCCATACCAGTGAGAAGCCTTTATCTTGTCAAGCACCTTCCTCTTCCTAGATGCCATCAAGAAACACCAGAAGAGCCTGTCTGCGTGGTTCAGCCACCAGCCCAATGAAGAGAGGCAGTTTGGCCCTTCCTTCTCGCTGGACGCAGTCCATGTGGACCCAGTGATCCGGGAGAGCTCTCTGGAGGAGATCCTGAAGCCCTCACCTGACCTAACCATCCAGAACCAGCTCCAGCAGCCCTGCAGCCAGGTTATCAGCCTCCAGAACCTTTTCGATGTGGATGCCTGTGGGCGGCAGGTGAAGAATGTGGTGCTGTATGGCACTGTGGGCACGGGGAAGAGCACCCTCATCAAGAAGATGGTGGTGGACTGGTGCCATGGTCGCCTACCCCGCTTTGAGTTGGTCATCCCCTTCTCCTGCGAGGACCTGTCGCATAGTCGTGCCCCCATCTCCCTGCGACGCCTCATAACCAAGAAGTACCAGCACCTCCGGGACGTGGTGCCGATGCTGGGCATTTCCAACCTCAAGGTGCTTTTCATCCTCAATGGCCTGGAGCGCCTCAACTTGGACTTCCGACTGGCTGGCACAGAGTTGTGCTGTGACCCCAATGAGCCTGTGCCTCCCTCTGCCATCGTGGTCAACCTGCTACGAAAATACCTCCTGCCAGAGGTCAGTGTCTCCCTCCAGCTCCTTCATGCTGGAGAAAGGCTGGGGGTGAGTCCTGGGGCATTGCAGGCATGGCCACTGTGCTAATTGCTTGTAGTCCAGCTTGGCTGTGAGCGAACAGGCAGCCTCTATTCCTGGAGGGACTCACCAAGGTCGCCTCATGTCACTGTTACTGGTTTGTCTCTGTGGGATCTTTGGGGAGGCCTGGTAGAACAAAGAAGGCAGTCTGCTGGGCTGTGGTCTTCCAGACTCGATATGTGTCTAGTAGGGGATGGGGAAAGCTCTTCTGTCCCCTCTGTCTGGGCCAGATTTGAACCAACGCCCTTTGGGCAGCAGCTTCTTGAATCCCAGCTCCTGGGTGGTGTGATCCTTGTGCACCTATACGTGGGTTATGCGCTTGGGACCCTGCTGAGCTTAGATCAAAGCCACAGAGGGAGCACCTCCAAACTCACCCAGCCCTCTGCTTCCAGGCCAGCATCATCGTCACCACGCGCCCATCGGCAGTGCGCCGGATCCCCGGCAAGTATGTGGGCCGCTACGCAGAGATCTGTGGCTTCTCTGACACCAATCTGCAGAAGCTGTACTTCCAGATGCGTCTCAGCCAGCCTGGCTGCAGTGGAGAGGGCAGTACAGGTAGAAGCTCAGGCGAGCAGGAAAACTTGGTGGAGATGTTGTCAAGGAACTTGGAGCGCCACAACCAAATTGCCGCTGCCTGCTTCTTGCCCTCTTACTGCTGGCTGGTGTGCACCACTCTGCACTTCCTCTACTTCACCAGGACGGTGCCTCCCAGCCAGACCCTGACTGGCATCTACACCAGCTTCCTGAGGCTCAACTTCAGCGGGGAGGTGCTGGACAGCACCGACTCCACCAACATCTCCATGATGAAGTACGTGGCCAAGACAGTGGGCAAGCTGGCCTACGAAGGGGTGATGTCCCGCAAGACCTGCTTCACAGAGGATGACCTGCAGCAGTGCTTTGAGGTGGAGATGAAGACTGAAAGTGAACTCAACCTCCTGGAGGTCTTCCGCAGCGACGTCTTCCGCTTCTTCCTCACTCCGTGTGTGCAGCTAGGCAAAGAGCACACCTTTGTCTTCACCATCCCTGCTATGCAGGAGTACCTGGCAGCCCTGTATGTTGTGCTGGGTGAGAAGAAGACCCTGGCACAGAGAGTGGGGAAGGAGCTGTCAGAGCTCATTGGGAAGGTGAGTGAAGATGTCGCTGTCGTCCTGAGTATCGTCTCCAAGGTGCTGCCCTTGCGCTTCCTGCCAGTGCTCTTCAACCTGCTCAAAATCTTCCCTCGCTACTTCTCCCGGCTGAGCGGTAAGGACCGGGATGCTATTGCTCACACCATGGCAGAGGAGCTGTTCAAAGAGGAGGACTACTACAACGATGATGTCTTGGACCAGATCAATTCCAGCATCCTGGGCATGGAGGGCCCCATGCGCCACCCTGATGAGGTCCCTGATGATGAGGTCTTTGAGCTCTTCCCCATCTTCATGGGGGGGATACTGTCCCGCCGTAACCGTGCCATCCTGCAGCAGCTGGGCTGCTCCATCAAGAACCTGGCAGCCTTTGAGATTGCCAATGCCATGAAGAAGACGGTCATCAGGAACAGCCGCAAGGGGCTGCCCCCCTCCGAGCTGATGGACTACCTCTTCTTCCTGCATGAGTTCCAGAACGAGCGCTTCACAGCTGAGGCCATCCGCTCCCTCCGGACTGTCAACCTCTCATCCGTCAAGATGACCCCTCTCAAGTGCTCTGTCCTGGCGTATGTCATGGGCACCACGTGCCACGAGGTGGAGGAGCTGAACCTGACCTCCTGCAACCTTGACACAAGCAGCTTGAGGATCCTCTTCCCTGTCCTGCTGCGATGCAAAGCTCTTCAGTGAGTACCACCTTCTTCTGCCCTTGGGCAGTGCTCAAAAATTGAGCTCTCCCTCACTTTTGCCCATCACAGGGATACACTAGGAGCCCGAGCATGGCAAAGGCAGGGAAGGGCATGCATGCCCTTGTTTATCCTCAGTGCAGGCCTAGGGGACTACAGCTTCCAACATGCAACACTCCTTGAGCAGCCTTGCTAGGGCACTGCATGCTGGGATTTGCAGTCCCAACACACCCTCCCATAGGACTCTTTGGGCAGCTCTCTGCAACTGGTACCACAGGCTGGGCTGCCAGCGCCCCTGGCAGACCCGGGTCCCTCTCATTGCTTGGCCCCCCGAAGACACCCAGCTTCCCCGTGTAGCTAGCTCTGCTACTACTAACTCTGGGCAGGAGATACGCAGCCCAAGGGTGGGAGTCTGGGCTGCGCAAAAGGATGGGTTCTGTTCCAGTCCATTTGTGGAACTGCAGTCTTCCTGTCGCCCAGGGGGTGGCGAGCTGTGCTCAGCAGAGATGGACTCAGCTGTGCAGCAGAGCTGTGCAGCACTTCCTTCCTCCAGATGCTCAGGAGGGCTTGGTGGGGTCCTGATCTCTCCTCAGACCTTCACCCACCCGCTGCGGACCCTGCAGCCCCTTCCCCTCCCTTGCTCCTGCTGGCACTGGCTCTGCCGGCTGATGGTACCCAAGCTCTGGAGTGGTTTCAGTGTGCTCCCTTTTGGAGAGGAAGCCTTGCGTGGCCTTGTCTGGGGAGCCCAGGTAGGATGGTGATGGGGAGGGCCAGGGAAAATGGAGAAAGCAGGGTTGCCAGCCCCACAGGTAACAGCCATTTCAGTCCTGCCACCCCCATGTCTCATTCTGCATCAGTCTGCAGCTCAACAGCCTGGGCTCTGATGCCTGCAAGGAAATCCGCGACCTGCTCCTGCATGACAAGTGTGTGGTGAGCAACCTGCGGTGAGTACTGCCTCTGTCCTTGCATGAAACTGTCTCTGCTGCCCACCATGTGCCCTGGCCCTGGGCCCCCTGCCCAGCCTCGGCATTGCCCTGAGCTCCTTTGTCCACAGGCTGGCAAATAACCCTGTGGGCGAGCAGGGGGCACAATACCTGGCTGAGGCGCTGGCCGGCAACCACTCACTGACCCATTTGTCCCTGCTGCACACCACACTGGGGGACCGGGGCGCCGAAGTCATTGCTCAGCACCTGGCCAAGAACCAGCACCTCCAGGAGCTCAACCTGGGCTACAACTCCCTGACAGACACAGCCGCCCTGCACGTGGTGGAGGTGGCCAAAAAGCATGCGACGCTGGACAAAGTGCAGTGAGTTCACTCTGCCCCATCTCTTCCCTTTTGCAGGCGATGCCTCCAACCCGGTGTCCCTCCCCGTAGCAGCAAGCAGGGGGTCCCTCTCTGCCTCTGTGTCCTTCCCCCAGCCCTCACAGTGTCTCCCATTCCTTTTCTCTCAACCCGCAGTCTGTACTTCAATGACATCAGCGAGGATGGCAAGCGGGAACTTGACAGCTTACGCATGGACCGGGACGGTGTCAGAGCGCTGGTCTTCCTTACAGCAGGCACTGACGTCTCTGACTACTGGTCCAACATCCTGAACGTGGTGCAGAGGAACTTGCCTTTCTGGGACCGTGAGCGGGTTCGGCAGCACCTTGTCCTCATCCTGCAGGACCTGGAGAGCAGCCGGAGACAGACTGCCAACCCCTGGAGAAAAGCCAAGTTCCTACGAGTCGAGAGTGAGGTCAAGAAGATGCTGGGGAAACTGCAGCACGAGAACCTCTAACCTGCTGTCCATCCCCCTGGCCAGGGTGCTGCTGGGGAGGAAACACTGGATTGTGCCCTGGCAGCACATCCCCTGCGCCCTTATCTGTGTGGAGATGCCTAGTGGTTGGGTGCTACCAAGGCTGTCAAAGGTGCTGGGCATGTGGGGCTCAGCCCTCATCTGCGGGCAAGGCTGAAGTGTGGGAGAACTGTACAGAGACCAGACCAGGAGCAACTGGGACTTGTTCTTCTGGGCTTGTAGAGACCCAGCCCCTGCACGAGGCAGAGCAGTGGCAGAGGGGCAGGACTCAGGCTTGCTTGTGAAACCTTTGGTAGCATTAAAGTGCACCGCTTTGTTTCCACTGAAGCACACTAGTGCCAAGACTCGATCTCCTCTCCGGGCCCTTCCTGAGGGAGGAATGCGGAGGCGCTGGTGCAGCTGTCCCTCCAGCAGTTGGAGTGGAGGGCTCTGGCCCTTACCCATCTCACAGGGCTTGGATGGGACAGCCCACTTCTGCTCCAGCTCATGCTGAACCAGTTGGTCTTCCCCACCGTGGGCTGCCCTTGGGGGCAGCTGGAAGCTGGGACACCAGGATCTGTTTCCAAGCTGGGTGTCCCAGGGTGCTGGTCCCGGCTCCCAGCTCTGCTGGGCGAGGACTGGCAGTGCCCCGCGGCTGGGAGGGCAGGGGAGACGTCGGGGCTGTTTAACCATTAAACCTGGGGCGTCTTGGAAGAGGCGGGGACACTGGCTTCCCTGCCACTTCACCCTGTACCTTGCTCCCTCTCGCATTCCCTGCAGCCATGAAGCAAACAAAAGGTATGTGCCAGGGCAATGGGGCTTCGTCCTGTGGAGACCCTTCCCCACATGCACATCTCCAGGCCCTGCTTCCTCATGGAGCAAGGCAATGTCAGAGCCCAGGCAGGCCATGGAAAGGAGCTAGAGGCATCCAGGAAAATGCAGATGGACATTGTGGGGGCGCTTGGCAGGAATCCCCTCTCCCTGGGTTTGGGGGTCCTTGTGCTGCCAAAGGTGGGGAAGGGTTTTATGGGGAGGTGCGCAGGGGAAGGCCTCTGTCTCCATCTCCTGGCTCCAGCCAGCTCTCTGGGGCCCTGGTGACCCTTCTTATCCCTCACTCAAAAGGCCTGTAAACCCCCAGGACTAACCTCCATCTGCATACCGCTGCCTGGCCCTACTTTGCCCCCAGTGCTGCAGGACCCCGCTGGGCTGGGCAGCGGGTGCCCGTTGGACCCAAGCAACAGGTGTCCTACTGTTTTGAAATGCAAGAGGACACTGGTGGCGGGGCCAAGGGCTGAGCTGTGCCTGCGTGTAGGCTGTAGCCGGGGGGCAGAGGGGCCAAGGAGGCTGCCCGGACTCGGCAAACCCACCTCACCTGGCATGGCATGCTCAGCCTGCGAAAGGATAAGCCCTGAGTGCTCGAGAGCGCGGGGCGTGCTCCCAGCCCGCTGCCTCCTGCACTGACCTCTCCTCTCCCTCTGCAGGGCTCGAGGGTGACAAGAACTCCATCATGTAAGTGCTGAGCTCCCCCTGGCCGGGGGCTTCCTGGGGGTCATGCTGGGGCACATCCTCAGCTGAGGTGGTGCGGGTCACGGCTGCCAATCCCAGCTGCCTGCCCCAGGAAGGTCTTCCCTGATTTGTTAGCTTAGAAGAGATGTGGGGGACAGTCCAAGAGGGACATCCCCTCCTGGCTTTCCCCAAGGAAGAGGAAGCACTGGAGCTGTGGCCCCAGCTGGCCCTTTCTGGGAGGAACAGGGCTCCCCACGGAAGGGCTGGGGAGGGCGGGGGGGAAGGCCGTCCTGCTGCATTAATGTGGCCTTTTCTGCCCTTTATTATTTCAGAAAATTTGAATTTAACCCCAAAGACGGGATCGACAACCCTGCCTTGTCTCTGGCTGAGGACATGGGTAAATACCCTCATCTCCCCAGGGCATCCCTGTGTCAGCATGGGGTTCTGGTAGCTGGACATTGCTGGGGTCTCTCAGGCCGGGGAGCTGTGGGGAGGTGAACACGTAAGGCAGTGGGGATGGGGAGATCCCAGCCCGGGATGGGGTAGAGGACCCGTGTTAGGATCCCTGCAGGGCCCTGCTCACGGGCTGTGCCCCCATGCAGATGGCGAGGGCGTGGGGGAGCCCCGCTTCTACCTCCTGAGCAAGGGCAGCGCGGAGACCTTCGGCTTCTGCCTCCACGAGGAGCTGGGCTGCCAGGGCCACGTCATCCGGCAGGTCGAGCTGGGGGGGCTGGCCCAGCGCAGGGGGCTGCAGGATGGGGACCGGCTCCTTCAGGTCAATGGCCACTTCGTGGACCACATGGACCACCACAGGGTAAGCTGGGAGCACCCCGGGGCTGTGGGAACGCCCAGGTCCTCCTCGGCCAGGGGCACAGAGGGTGTGGGACCCCACTACCCCTCGGGGCCTGATCCCACAGGCTGTGGTTGGAGGGGCACCCTGTCCAGGGTTCACAGCCTGGGTCCTTCCAGGTGGTGCAGAAGATCAAGGCCAGTGGGAATCAGGTCCTGCTGGCAGTGCTGGACGGTGACTCCTACGAAGCAGCCAAAGCCCTGGGCAGGGACCTGTCCCAGATGCTGCCGGCTGACATCCGCCCACGCCTCTGCCACATCATGCGGGACAAAAGCGGTTTTGGCTTCAGTGTGTCGGGTCCAGAAGGTAAAGCAGGCAGGGGGATGCCGGCGCCGCGAGCCTCCCCAGCACAGCGCCCCAGACTGCCTCTCCTCCTCCCTGCAGGCGTGAAGGGCACCTTCCAGCTGTCGGTGCGGCAGGACGGGCCAGCGGAGAGAGCAGGGGTGCCGCCAGGCTCCTGGCTCCTGGAGCTGAACGGGGACAGCGTGAGGAGCTACTCGCACGCGCAGCTCGCCCGAAAGGTGCGTGCTTGCGGCACAGGTGGGGGACTGGGGCCAGCAACATCGCTGAGCGCCCTGCATTTCCCATCCAGCTTAAGCAGAGCGGCAGCAAAGTGACACTGCTGGTGGCTTCCAGTGCCGTGGAGGAGTTTTACCGCCTGCGGGGCCTGCGGGTCACGGCCGCCTTGGCAGACACCTCCTGGCTCCCCTTCAAGGTCCGGGAGCTGCACATGGTGAAGGGTCCAGCTGGCTACGGGTTTCTGCTCAAAGAGGATGACTGCAGCTCGGGGGCCATAGGTGAGGGGTCTGAGGGGGGCAGTCCATACCTGATCAAGGCATGTCTGAGGGTCGGGAATAGCCGCAAGCCCTGTGCCCACAGCGGGACCCTGTCCCCACCTGCACATGGGGGCCAGGGGTGCTGGTTCCCCTATGGCTGAATGTCTCTGTGAGCATCTCCCTACCTTCCCTCTGTCCCGCTGTGGCAGGCCAGTTCCTGTGGGATGTGGATGCAGGGCTGCCGGCTGAGCAGGCAGGGATGAAGGAAGGGGACCGTCTCCTGGCTGTGAATGGTGAGAGCATTGAGGGGCTGGACCACCAGCAGACGGTGCTCAGGATCCGTGCCCATGATGACCAGGTGACGCTGCTGGTCATCGACCCTGCTGGCGATGAGTTCTACCAGTCGGTAGGTTTTGGGGACCCAGCGTGGTCCCACCCTGTCTGGGGAGCCCTGGGGTGCTGTGAGGCTGGATGATGGGATGGGTGTCTTGCCCCCAGGCCTGCACAGTGAGGTCCTCTCTAGGGGACCTGGCTTGCCGTGGAGTGCCAGGAGCTGTTCGGCTATCCCTCTTCTGCTCTTCCAGATCGGGCTGTCCCCTCTGCTGTTCTCTGAGGACAGTCACCCTGCCTCAGGCTCCCGCACGCCCTCCCTGCCCTCTCCCAGGGGCTCCCCTGGACTCTGTCATGTTGAGGTGGAACCAAAGGGACCTGGCTCCTGGCTGGTGGCTGCTGCCAACAGTATAGGGATCACACAGGTAACCCCTCTTGCCAGGCCCTCGTGGCAGTGCTGCTCACAGCTCGGCACTGCTCTGAGTACTGGCACCCTCCTGCCCTGCCTGTCCTAATATTTCCCTGATACCTGTGATGCTGGCAGGAGGGGGCTGCATGGTCCCCTGGCCACAGGGGCCAGGCAGAAAGATTCCTCCAACCTGCCCATGGGGCAAGGGTGGAGTGTGGTGGGGTGGGTGGATGTGTGCTTCCCACAATGCCCCCACTGTGTCCCCACAGAGCCCGCGCCAGGAGGAGCAGAGGAGGCTGCACCAGGCGTTCTAGTGGCCCAGATGCACCCTGCCTCCAGCCAGGCTCCCCCCACAGCGCCTCAACCTAGGCCACATCCAGCCCATCGGTGCCCCCCGGCCCGGCTCCCCGGAGAGCACGGTGCTGCTCAGCATGGCCGTTGCACGCACAGCTGCTGTGTCTCCATGCCCGTGATGGGGCTCGCAGCATCACGCCTCCCAGAGACTCATCTCCACTGACCGAGGCTGGCTCCAAGCTTTTATTAACCATGGTGGTGCCTTCTTGTAGCCTGAAGACAGACGTGTGTCTTTGCCTGCCCAGCTGCCTCCAGGGGTATCTAGGGACATTGCACTGAAGCCCTTGCCAAGCTCCAGGCTCTGGGAGCTCCCAGGAGAGCCGAGGCACTGCCCTCCATGCCATGACCCATGGCATGGACTGGGGAGCCTGAGGCTTGGCTCAGCCCAGGGCTGGCCTTCGGGCCGCTGTGAAGGTGAAAGGGAGCAGGAGAGGCCGATGGGGCGCTGGAGGAACCTCCCACCTCTTAGCCTGTTGGCTCAGGTCTGCACCTGCATGGACATCTCTCTTGTGCTCCTCCTCTCATCCTTCCTGTGAACCTGTGGGCAGTGAGTGTCCGCTCCCCATCACAGCACTGTTCCTGTGTCACCCATTTGGGGTGTGATTAAAGGACAAATCCACGCTGCTGTTCATGTGGGTAATGTTATGGAGAGGATTGTGACTCAGCAGTGCATCCCAGGGCCAGACAGGACCCACCTTCTCTTGCCTAGCCTGGGGCAACTGGGGTGTTGGGCAGTGGATGTGGGAAGCTCTCCAAGTGTGCTGATAGGGAGGTAGGGGCTGAGAGCCTGTCCTGTCCCAGGGATCCCCAGGGTGCTATATCTCCAGGGAGCTGAGGCCGAACTCCTGTAGGCGCTCCTTGTGCTCCATGGCAATGGTCGTTCCTACCTCTTTCCAGCACTGGCTGGCCTCTGCCATCTTGGCCAGCACAAGGTCCAGGCTACCCTGGTGGGAAAAAGGATGGTGAGGAGGGGGGACCGCACTGCCAGGGGGGACCGCACTGCCAGGGGAAGCCACCCACAGCCACGTCCCCACTCACGTGGAGGATCTTCCCATACTCCCTCTCCATGGCATCAAGCCTGCCCTGCAGCTGGGCGATGGTCCTGTCCCTCTCTGCTAGTGCCTGGCTGGCAGTCTCCTGGGTCTGCTGGCTCTTCTGGAGCCTAGTGGCTGTGGGGTGCGGGGACAGAGGCAGGGGACACTGAGCACGTGGGCACAGGAGCCTGGCACTGCATGACCAGTACATGGGAGAGTACAGGCAGTGTGTGGCACAGCCCCTGCCCAATCCCCCTCATCCCCAGAGTGGCACAGAGCTCTGGGACAGGGATGTGGGATCACAGCATCCCCTTTGCAGTCAGCATCTCCCAAGGTCGGGGATGCACTGGGTCAGGCTTTGCCTTCAGCTGCTGCCATGCTCACAACACAGGGTGAATGACTCCCATCTCCCCTCGCTCCCCCCAAGTGCACTTTGCTGCCCTGGAGCGAACCCCATCCCCACCCACTGGCGAGGGGCAGGCATGCCGGGGGGCCATACCGAGCTGCTCCTGCAGGCTCTTCACCTTCGCCTCCAAGCGCTGGCTGTGGGCTGCTGTCTGCTTCTGCAGCTCCTGGTATTGCCGGGTCATTTCTGGGAGCCAGGGAGGGGAGAAGGGAACAAACGTGGTGACTATAGGAAGGACAAGCAGGCAGTTCTTGTGCTCAGATGCCAGCACCTGTGACCAGGCAGGGGCTCCAGCAAGGCCTGACCTGAGGGCTCCCCTTGCAGGGTGACGCATCAGAAGCAGCCATGCGTGCACTCTTTCCCTGCCTGGGGGAGGGCAGGAGGGAGCCCTGGAGGGAAAGTTTTACCTCTCTGTTGAGTGTGGGAGAGTGAAAATGAGCACGGAATTTTGCATGTGGCAAAGACCACAAACCTCTGGCTTGAGGTTTTACCTCTGCTAAAATCAGCGCCTTCTTGAGCACTAACAGAAATGGCGAGGCAATGACTTTTGCAGGCAAGGAAGTCTCTGCCCCTGTGGTCTCCTCTCTCTGTGCTGAGTACAGGCATCTGGGCTGCAACGAGTCCATGCCCAGAGCCGTTGCATGCTGACAGCATAGGAGGGAGCACGGCTGGCCCAACAGCAGGGTGGTTTGGGGCTGAGCGGTCAAGGCCAAAGGGAGAAGTGGGGTAAGCTTGGCTGGCTTCCCCCAGCAGCACCAAGGTGTGGGGTCCCCGTATCTCTCCCACTGCCCCCTCTGATCTCTACCCTCACCTTCATGAATGTCTCGCTTGTCTTCCCGTGCCTGTTCCAGCGCCTTCTCCAGGTCCCACAGCCTCCGCTTGAGCACTTCATTGTCAGCTTTCGTCTGCCAGGTCATGTCCCTCCAGGGAACTGTGAGCCAGAGGTGCATAGGACTGCCGTGGGGACAACGCGCTTCCTGACAGGTGACTCGCACCATGACCCTGACCTGAGCGCGGGCGGTCAAAGGGCACCATCCAAACCATACTGGGTGGCTATTCCCTGCTCAGTACCTCCTCGGTACCATGACCCAGCAGTGACTTATTTCTAGCCTTTCTCTGCTCCCAAAGCCAGGGTGACGTGGACACCTCCGCAGCCCATGCCTGGCCCCAAGCCCTGCCTGAACCAGAGGGAATCTCATTGTATCAGAAATAGTGTGGCCAGCAGGAGTAGGGAAGTGATTGTCCCCCTGTACTCGGCCCTGGTGAGGCCGCACCTCGAATACTGTGTTCAGTTTTGGGCCCCTCACTGTAAGAAAGACATTGAGGTGCTGGAGCGTGTCCAAAGGAGAGCAATGAAGCTGGTGAGGGGTCTGGAGAACAAGTCTGATGAGGAGCGGCTGAGGGAACTGGGGTTGTTTAGCCTGGAGAAAAGGAGGCTGAGGGGAGACCTCATCGCTCTCTACAACTACCTGAAAGGAGGTTGTAGTGAGGTGGGGGTCGGTCTCTTCTCCCAAATAACAAGCGATAGGACAAGAGGAATCAGCCTCAAGTTGTGCCAGGGGAGGTTTAGATTGGACG